TCTGAGTCGAAGAATAACTAAAAAAAGAGGCGTGCTAGGGGCACTCGCCTCCTGCACTCTCCGGCCAACACCTTCACCTTTATTGGGCCACGTTAGTTTGGTTAGGAAGAGGTTGTACTTCAAAGCTTAAAATAAGCTTACGTGGCCCAATGAAAGGGGAAGTGTTGGCCGGAGAGTGCAAGAGGCGAGTGCCCCTAGCACTGCTCACTAAAAAATAAAGTGATTGAATTTTAACTTGCTAGGTCTCACGTCTGAGTAAAAGAGGAATGCTAGCTGCACTCGCCTTTCTCCTGCACTCTGCAACACTCCTTCATCTAAAATAGCCACGTGAACTTTTCTAGTTGGAAACTTTGAATTGGCGAGCCAATGTTTGTTACGTGGACATTTTACATGAGAGAGTGTTGGAGAGTGCTGGAGAAAGGCGAGTGCAGCTAGCTTTCCTCCTGAGTAAAAGGCTATACAACTACCATCGATAGAGAGTTCAATTATTATAATATTTCTCATTTGTAAAATTACTTTTTTTAGTGATATTCTTAAAATTAGTCAATCAATGCAAAACAATTAATTTGTCTTATTAAATGATTAAATGCGCTAAATCATATTTAATTCATCTCTCTCCACAGCAAGCTCATGTTATACTCTGCTTTGGGTCCATTCGCCTTGTATTTTTATTTTTTATAAAAGAATAGTTTAATTTATTTGTCAATTATAATTTTTAACATAGTATTAAAGTTTTCTTTAAAACAAAAAAAAAAAATCTTCTTTTTCAATTTTGTCCCTATTAATGATTACTTTATTCTTAAAAAACACATTTAAACTTCCCAAGTACTCTTATTAATAAGGGTAAATATAAAATTTTAACTAATAATAAGTGTATTTTATAGATCTTTGTAATTTGTTTAATAATCATACAAAATAAAAGTGTGATAAGTAAAATGAGCCAAAGGTAGTAGTTTATATTGAGTAATAATTTTTGACATAAAATTTTAGGACAAATTTTTGAGACTAATATTTCATGCAATAATTATGTTGGCTTATATGAAACTCATGATATAATCAATAAAAATAATTAGTATATTTTTTGATTTGATATATTTTTTAACATTTGTTTAGTTTAGTCATTAAAATATAATATAGATATAATTAATTTAGTTGATTTTTATATATTATATGCATAATTATATCATTAAGTTTGTTTATTTTTAATTTTATATTAAAAATAATAATTTTTTAATAAGTATGTTGTGTGTAATGTATTGAATTAGAGAATATACCAATTAATATTCTACAATCAATGACCTATTATGAATTCATCCTAAATTTTGGTCTTAAAAATTGGCTCTAATTATGATT